GCCCGCCATCGCGCGGCCTGCGCGGGGGAGCAGCGGGACCTCGGTGCCCCACGCGCCACCGGCCACCCGCCACCAGGCGCAGGACCCTCCCGAGAGGGCCCGCGTGAGGTGCAAGCGGCGTGCAACACTCGCAAGGAAGCTCGCTATTAATTATGCTTCGCAGTCCTGTTTTAATTAGAAGACAAACTGCTGTGGGAATACAAGCCTACATTCAGACCTCGGGCCTTTTCRTTAATAATCTTCCCTGAATATGTAAAAATATTCCAATTGGCTCAGCCTTTCTCTTTCCTCYTTTTTGCCTCCTGGCTGGAGAGCTCAGGGTAGTTTGTGGGTGGGAATGGCTCTCTCTTGGCACTGCCATTAAAACAGGTCGCATTCAGACACTTGCTAGGAAGCCCCCTCCTTCCTCCATGATTCCAGACTGATGCTAAGGTGTCGCCTCTCTCCAAGTTTACATTTGGCATTACCATCTAGTTCCCAAACGTTAAGAAACAATTTGTCTCTATTGCCCGTGCCAAGGGAAGTCAACTGGCATGTTCCTGCCCATGCTGGAYGGGTACTTGGTCACATTCCCGCCTTTAGGAAAAGTCTTGGTTTTGCCCAGATCTATCAGGGTCAGGAATGGGTCACGACTGCYGCCCCTGCCACGCACACGGCCCATYCCCATGGAGGCCAACAGCACCTACCATATCTGTGTCCGAGACAGGGCCAAAACTCGTCACGTAAATGTCTGTCTTGACTTCAGTTACGCTGTCTGGGACATAAGAAGAGAGAGARAGAAAGGAAAAAAAGAAAAAAAAAGCAATTAGAGAATTGAATGCATTTCTACAGAAAGGTTTTAGTATTTTTTTCAGGTCAGGTGCCTCCCTGCTGAAGCCCTCAGCAAGCTGGTATTGTGCTCGGTAGTGTATCCTAAACAATAGCTGATTTTACCATTCATAGTTGGGCAAATTCATCTTTAATGTAGCTCTGCTGCTTTCCACTATGCCCTCACATATTCAGATTATGTGTATTTACAAATTAGATGCAGTTATGCAATACATAATGCCATAGAGATCCCCATATCTTTAACACAGAGGTAAGCCCCAAAATTGTGAAATTCTCTTTAATCTGAAATCCCTTTGTGTCTCCCAGCCTCATAAATAGCCTAGCAATGTTCTGCCAGTTTTAGGAAACCCAATTTTTTTTTTTTTTAATCTGTACATAAAAGAATCAATATTCTGATTGCTTTTCACTCCTGTCATGTTTGTTGCTTTCCTAAGTGCCTCGGCTCCCGAGGAGCAGCTGCTCTTGCAGAGGTATTTATACACAGCCTGTATTAATCTACAGCCAGACTATGCTGCCCTTGCAGACGCTGAATAACTGCCTCCYTCCGGCCACAAAAATCACGGGACTTCAATTCCTGCCCCAAGCACCAGAGCCCACGGGCAGTTTTAATCCTGTGCTTCCAGGTGAAGATAAACTGTTTTCCAGAACGTGGCTGCCAGCAGGTGTTTTTCACGCTGAACAGCACATGCAGCTCTCATTACGACTGCCATCGTTACTGTCTCAGCAGRCCCTCTAAGCAAGACACAAGTATATCAGGTATAAGTYGAAACCCAGGCAGTTCCATCTCCACATGAGGAAGAAACTTCTTCACTGTGAGGGTGACAGAGCCCTGGCACAGCTGCCCAGGGATGCTGTGGAGGCTCCTTCTCTGGAGATCTTCCCAACCCACCTGGATGCGACCGGGTRCCCCATGCTCTGGGTGTCCCTGCTGGGGCAGGAGGTTGGACTGGGTGATCTCTGGAGGCCCCTTCCAACCTCAGCCATTCCGTGATTCTGTGAGACGGCTGCCATRGCCCTGCTTTGCAAGGAAGCCGAGGCAGAGGACAGGGTGACTCTGCATGGTCACATCTCGRGCAGCACTCAGCCTGCCAGGACGTCCTAAGGGAGCCAAAGGAGGTGCCTCGAGTTTAGCACCGCGTTCCCATCAACCTTCATTCCCTTAGAGACAGATCATACGATTGGGCTCTTTTTTATGTTGCTAATTGGCTCAGTGCGGCATTCCCAATGAAAGAGCTAAACATTCCCAATGCCTCGAGCTCCAGAAAAAGAATTTGTGTTTTTAGCCGTAACATCCCATTTCAGCCACTGCAGCAGCTACCTGAATGGCCCATTGCTCGATGCAGTTATGGAAATTCTGTGTTCTCTGTCAGTTATTTTGCAATATCACAAAGCTCAGTTTTGTGCTTCAAAGTTTTGTRCCCAAAAATAAGATAATGCATTCTGGCAGAGTTTTCTCCTTAATGGCTAAAACATACATATACATGTCTTCAGTTATTATGGTTGGAAAGCTTCTGACACAGCCTGTGGCTGATATTATTGTGCTATATAAGTAACCCTTGATCTTATCTTGACGTGATAAAAAGAAGGTTAAAGAGAAATATGTATGCAGTACACTTTCTGAAACACACAGCAGTCAGCGAGGCAGCTTTTTAAGCAAAGTGAGATATTTCTGTAAGACTTTAACGCTTAGGGTATTCTGTGTCCCTCCAAGCAAGCCCCAAATGAGACATACAGCAGAGAAGACAATTCTGCTAAAGTGAGGTTCTTTAATACATGCAGTTAGAGAAAACTAACTGCGTGTTAGAGAAGAAATTTACTCTCCCTCCACTTCCCTCTCCTCCTGCCTTTTTGAGTGTTTAAATTGTCCAACATAAATAATACAGAGCGATAGATACCAGATTGGGATACGCAGCCACCCATGACCAGTGAAGTCCTTGTGACATGAAGAATAAATTGCCTTGGGAATTCAAGGGGAACCGAGCTGGAAAGGGGCACAGGGGGGTGCTACATGACACAAACTGTGGGATCCAAGCACTGCAGGAGTGATTCAGGGAGCAGGTGGAAAGGCAGAACCAATTTGAGACACCTTTTGTATGACACTGCTCTTTTTAGTTGTTAGCCTGCATTTGGTAAAAGCTCAAGAAAATAGAGAGTGCACAAGCTTTTTTATTTAAAAAAAGGGGGGGAGGTGTTAGTGATGCTTCTTAGAAAAGCCAATGCACCAGGGATAGATTTTGTGCCTGTATTCTTATGAAGCAGAACAGCAAGAATGGAGGGGTTGGTAGATGGTTACGGCTTAATCCCAAATGGGTCTGAGCTCATCCTGGCTTGGGCCCCAGGGCAGCACATTGTAAGCTACCAGCCACGGAGCTCCCTGCAACCTACCAGCCAGTCTGATCAAGGCCAAAACATTTATCAAGGGCTCGTGTCAGAAAAACTCAAGGAGCTTCTCCTGGTCTGTCAAATCCCTGCTGACCATCACTGGGAGACCTGTAACACATGAGTTGAGGGTCCTGTGGCTGCCACGTTGCTCTGAGGAAGACCCATGGACTGCTCACAGGGATTTGCTCATGGATACAGGAGGGGAATGACACGTCCTGTCCACGGGAACATTTCAGGAGCCCAAGGAAAGGAAGACCCAAGCGCCCTGCGAGACACTTCATTACCAGCTTTGCAACATGAGCTCTCAGGAGCAGGAGGTTTCCTTGTCCTGGGCAGGCTCCTTCCCATCTGTTAGCACAAACAACGTGTATTTATAGTGCCTGGGGTGATCAATACTCTCACTGTGCCAACGATGGCAAAGCAAAGAATAACAGAGACAGAACCAACCCTCACAACATGCAGCCATGGCCACCCACCAGCGTAACCCAGGAGCTGTGGAGGGCACCCATTTAGTTCCACTTGGGAAAGAGCATCCCAAGGGCATTAGGTGAAGCGCTGGGCAACATCCTGCGCTGGGAATGGGCTGCACTTTGTGCCATCACAGGAGTTAGATGACAGGGTTAAATCYAGCAGAGCCACCTGCAAGCCCACGGGTAGCCGTGACATCAGCCTGGCTACCAAAGCTACTTCTGAAACATCTCCAGTTGTTCCTAACTCTTAGGAGAGGTTTTAATACAGACTTGGCAGGATGCAGGGCCACAGCAGCTATCCGGCCTGTTTCCCTGAGACATCTCTATCCAAATCCCTTCTAATCCGTCACGGCACCAGTGTTCGCCTATCTTTCAGCATGGGGGACCGCAAAACAGCGTTTCCTACGCTCGACCAACCACGGAGAACAAGCTCAGTAGGAACATCCTCCTCCAGCAACTGCTCTTGATGGAAGTCAGAGAAACCTAGGGCAGATCTGCTCTTCCCACCTATTTCTCACCTCGTCATCCTCGCGTCCCACGTGGGAGAGGCCACACTGATGCACTGGACTCCGCAGGACCCCTGATATGATCTAGCTGCAGCTGGGGATGGGCTCCACAAGGCCAGCTCAGGTCCTCTCCCAGGCTACCTTTTCTACCCATGCTTCAGGGTTCAGTACCATCACAAAACATTAAAGGGCGCTTTTCCTTCCCAAGCACCTTCCTGCCCTGTATCCCTATGACTTTTTCCCCACACACAAGTGAACTGAGCAGCGTGCAGGGGGACAGACAGATGCGGCAGCTCCTGTTCTACAGCTGGGGACGAGGCAGGAGAGACCTGCTAGAGGTGGGAGGCTGGGGAGGAGAAAGGAGCTGAGTCCAGGCTGGTCCTCAGGAGCCCACGCTGCTCTTGGCACATTGCAGCAGCACCTCCAGCCGGGCTGCGCAGACTCCCACGCCCCGGGACTGGGGAAGAGAAAAGATTTTCAAGGGATCTGCAGGATCAACGTTTAAACGCAGGCGGGATTTAGACCTAAACGCTGCGTTATGGTTCTGGATCGCTTGCGCAAGGGGGATTCCCATCCCCGGCTCAGCGCAAGCCTCGGGGCCGCTCTCCAGCAGGTCTGTGCGCAGGGCAAGGCGCTGCGGGCCGAGCGGGGACCCCTTCTGCCCCACGGCACYGAGCGCTCCGCGGCAGCCCGTCCCGCGCGCTGCTGCACGCGGCAGCCCCCCTCCGCGGGCACATCTGCAATGCAAATGCACAGCAAACGCTGCAACCTCCACTCGCCCGTGTTACCATGGCACTCCCTGCACCTGCCTGCTCTGGAAAAGCTACCCTGCTCCGAGCACGCGCTCCAAGAACCCTGCTCCAAGAACCCTGCTCTGAGAACCCTGCTCCAGCTGCCCCTGCGCTCGCAGCGGGTGCCAAGCGGCCAGGGTCACTCTGGGCTCCTTCTCATCCCTCCTAGGGAAGCCCAGAGCTGCGCCTAAACCCCCGCAGCCCTCGGCGAGGCAGACGTGCCCCCCGCCGTCCCCCCGGTGAGCACCCCGTGCTCGGTGGCTGCCAAGGAGATAGCCCTTATTTACAAGAGGAGCRAGGGCTATTTTTACTCGCTTCTTGGAAGCACCAGGAGCAGTGGCAGGGCTGGAATACAAATTACCCGGCCRCTCTGCTCTCCCCACGCTGCTGCCGACTGCAGCACTGCCTCTACGAGGGATTCAAGGCGGCGGGGGGCACGGGAGGCTGAGCAGGCTCTTATTAAACATCCCGCTGCCCTCATCAAGGGCTGGTTATTTAAGAACCTCAGSCGTAACGTAACGGGGGCGGCCGGTTGTGTTTCGGCTGGCGAGGTCCGTGCAYGTGCTGAGCAGAGCCACGTTTCCCGCAGGGGCTTCCCGGAGGCTCCGCCACCAGCGAGCAGGGAGCCTGCAGCTGAGCACTGGAGGCTCCCTATTAAAACCAGGCGAAAGCAGGGGATTCCTGGCRACTGTGCTGACGTCGCGGGGGCTCCGCAGGCTTCTCTCACGGCTAAGCTGGCGGCGCGAGGGAACGGGGATCTGCGCTGCGGGCAGCGGG